GATGTCTGGAGCTGTGAAGGTGAGTGTCTTCCTCTCTCTCTCGCTGGGGGGTTGGATGGGGGTTTGGTTGGCTGGTGTATGGAGGGTGGTGGTAGTGGAAGGCTCTCTTGGGTGGAGTGGTGTTGGTTGGTGTCAGGCTCTCTCTATGGGGGGGGGGGGGGGGGCGTCCGATTTTTGTGTTGCCTAGGGCAGCACAAAACCTAAGTACACCACTGCATACAGCTGTGCATCTCTGTGTCAGTAAAAGACAGCCCTGTACTGGAGTCCCATGAATGCACTCCATGTGAATGAGCCCTAAAGAGAAATGGGACACAGAAAAAAAAAAATGAGAACCCCTGCATGTTTGCTTCACCCAACATGAAAAAAAAATAAAAATTTGGCTTTATTGTACATTAGGGCATTCAGTTTTTTTTCATTTGGCAGCACATGCTAAGGGCAAAATGGAATTTAGTTTGAAAGTCTGTTTCTTCTCAGACAAGGAAGGATGTATGAACCACAAAATGAAAATGTCACTGCAAGATATGTCGTAACAAAGTTTGTTAATATCTGTTTCTTTCCACTGAAGTTGATTCTTCAATAGTATCTTTCAAACTGTAGACCTAAACTAAAAGATACATTGTTTAAAGCAGAGACGAAGTCTTCAACAAACTACTGCAAGAAATAGGGCTCATTTACACTTCTAGATGTCTTTGCCATCCCTCTGAAAAGAGTTAACTTACCAGACAGCATTTGACATCCTGGCCCTGATTTACTAAGAGTTGAGTCTACCAGCAGACACTGAACATTCTGGCAGACTCAATTCAATCAATCAGTCAGTCTTCAGAAAGGCATCTAGCCAACTCCTTGAAAAGCGTCTAATTTGTAGACTCTTTTCCTGTTAGTAAATCCAGAATCGCATCTGGTACATTTCTAGATGCAATGCTGTATATGTTCGCTAGGTGGCACACAACCGCAGGCTTTGTCCCGTTGGTGTTTTCTGTTTGCATATGAGAATACTTATAATGTAAAATAAAAAGTACACCTATATTTATTTATTTATTTTTTTATTTTTTGGGTTGCTGTTTCTCCAAAATGATCAGACAACAAATGCATTTCCTAATGAATGTCATACATTCTATTTTCAAATGTCAAACATTTTCACACTTATATCTCAAATAATTGGGAATGTCTAGTTCTAAGTTCCCAATATAATGATAGATCTTCCTTCTCTTTAATCATGTAACTATTCTATGTTAAGGTAATAGTGCAGCGCTATAAATGCATGTGATCAATCAAACGCATGTAAAATCAAAAAGTGCAAATAAGTGCAATAATGATGTAAACTGTGTGAGGGATTAGCTCAGTAGCGGGTTGTGCTTGACCCCCTGGATGGGTCAGAACACCGTGAAAGAGGTTCAGCACGGCAGCAGGTACTTTGTGAATAAGGTTGTGCTTTATTTACAAAGTCTGGTGAACACACAGTGCATAAATCCAAAAACAGCAAAATAAATAAAAACAGAAAATAAAGCCTTGCCACACTGAGCTACTAACTACAAACACAGGTTTCCTATCTAGCTGTCTGAATACAGCCTACCGCTGCACAGATACAGGGGGGTTTATTTACTAAAGCTGGAGAGTCCAAAATCAGACTCCCTTCTGCATAGAAACCAATCAGCTTCTAACCTCAGCTTGTTCAATGAAGCTTTGGCAATGAAACCTGGAAGCTGATTGGTTCCTATGCAGAAGGGAGTCTGATTTTGGACTCTCCAGCTTTAGTAAATAAACCCCAGGGTGTTCACACAGTCCAAGATCGCACAGATTATTTCTCACCACAGGATGGTTGGGTTGCTCCCTGCTCCCTGCTCCCTGCTCCCTGCTCCCTGCTCCCTGCTCCCTGCTCCCTGCTCCCTGCTCCCTGCTCCCTGCTCCCTGCTCCCTGCTCCTGCTCTGCTCTGCTCTGCCCACTGGTTCCAGGTTGGAGCATTCTCTCTATGCAGCCTGGGAGTTTTATAGAGCCCAGAGCCCTTAACTCACTACACCTGAGCTCATTAACTCATCAGTGAGCCACACAGGCTCACTACACAGCACAACAGGAGAAATAGTCTGTGTAGAGCAGGAACCTGGGACAAATATATCTCCCATCCTGAACACATCCCCTATTTCTTCCTGACCCCCTGTCACAACTGGTAAATGGTGCTAAAAAAAAAGTTCATATAATCATTCATGAATAATGGAATGTCCTACGTGTGAGAGTACCAACTCAGTTAGTGCCTATGAATGGCACGTGTGGTTTATCCGTGACAAACAGTAGTGCATGAGCTCATGAAAGGTAATCCACCCTTGGGACGGGTGTACACTCACCAGAACAAAAGTATTAATGCGCATGGGTTATACACATCACACTGTGTCCCCCCCTCCCATCCATACCAAGCCCTTCAGGTCTGGTATGGATATTAAGGGGTAACTCCACGCCAAAATTAAAAAAAAAACGGCGTGGGGTCCCCCCAAAATCCATACCAGACCCTTATCTGAGCATGCAGCCCAGCAGGTCAGGAAAGGTCCTGAACCATACTTTGTGATTGACGTTGGATTAAAGGGGGCTTCCAGATTCTGATAAGCCCCCCGCCCGCAGACCCCCACAACCACCAGCCAGGGTTGTGGGGAAGAGGTCCTTGTCCCCATCAACACCCCACACCGTTTTTTTTTTTAATTTTGGCATGGAGTTACCCCTTAATATCCATACCAGAGCCAAAGGGCTTGGTATGGATGGGAGGGGGGACCCCACGTCGTTTTTTTTTTTTATTTAATTGCAGACGTTTATTTTTAGATTCAGCTGTCAAAATATATATTATCTAGACCTCTGAAATAAGTAAAATCATTACAGAAATAATTATAAAGGATAAGAAACAAAAACAGAATCAATAAAACTAAGGAAATCAAATTAGAATACATAAGGATATGCCTAGCTGCAAATAGTGCTGTTTGTTAAACACAGTAGACGCGATCGAGTGCCGTCTGTCAGAGGACTCCACACAGAGATTTACTATTGAACAGCGTCTAAAAAGAAAGCGCCCACGGAAGACGTCTAAAATGTGTTCTGCACATGCGCATTTATATCCGGCCATAGACACTGGAAAAGCATCTAGTTCTTCAATGTGACGACTTGCTTTTAAAAAACTATTTTTTACACATTTAAAATTTTTTTTGAAATGTCAGATATTGTTTAAAGTGAAGTCCTGATATTTGGCAAAGCAAATTTCAATGTGAACATGTCTCTGCAGTGATTTTTCATGGTCTTAGAAGTGCTTCTTAGCAAGTCTGCTTTTCGAGTCTGATTCCTGGATTGTGCCTGGTTAGTAAATTCGATTTGACGTCTAATTGTTGACGCTTTCTTTAGTAAATGTCTTTGCCGTCTAAAAGTAGACGGTCCCTATCAGGGGCGGACTGACCATTTGAGCACTCGGGCACTGCCCGAGGGCCCGGGGTCAGTAGGGGGCCCGATGAGATGCCCCAGGTACCTTTCATTAGCTTTTTCATAGGCTTTTTTGGGTGTGGGCAAGGACACAGGGACCCCATAATCCCCTATTGCCCGGGGGCCCCATGACTTGTCAGTCCACCCCTGGTCCCTATTAAAAAGTAGACGTTAGCTCACAGAAATGCGCCTAGGCACAATAGTAAATCAGGGTCCCTAGGTCACTTCCTTACCACCTATTTTAACCTTTAAAAAGCCCAAAGCACCACATTGCAAACACATACAGTACAGCCCCATTCAGCTCCTTGAATAGGTTGTATTTGGTGGTGGTACTGCCTGATGAATGCGACTGGTGGTAAAAATTTTGCTACAGTCTTAGGGTTCATGTACACTGCAGCTCCTAAACTGACGTTCAGGAGCTTTTCTGCATTTTTTTCAGCAGCCTCTGAACTGTCCCTAATGTTTCCCTATGTGTCCATGTACACATAGTCGTTTACAGGCAGTTTACAGTAGTTTTTTTGAACGCACCAAACTTGCGTTCAGAAGTAGATTTTATCAGCGTTTCAAACGCCAAATGCTTGTAAACGCGTGTAAACGTGGCTAACCGCGTTTATAAGCATTTGCATTTAGAAGCATTTTTTAACTGTTCCATATCCAAATGCTGTCCAGAGCCTTTTTTCATCATCAGAAATGCATGCAAAGCATTTTCCATGTATTCAAATGGACCTAGCACACCAGCGCAGTCAGTTCCAGGTTTTGCGTGAAGGAAAAAATGGTAGAGCGTGCTGCATTATGCTCATGATGGGATCCATAGTGAATAAAACCAGAAAGGACACTGTAGGTAAGCTCAACACATATTGCTCTCTCTGCTTCTGCTCTCTCCCAAAATGTCTGCAATAGTTATTTTTTTACTATTTTTCAGTGCATTCTGGGCATTTTGGAAGGTCTCCTGATGTTATCTTTAACCACTTACCTACAGGGCACTTATACCCCCTTCCTGCCCAGGCCAATTTCCAGCTCTCAGCTCTGTCACACTTTGAATGACAATTGCGCGGTCATGCAACACTGTACCCATATGAAATTTTTATCATTTTTTTGTAACAGATAGAGCTTTATTTTGGTGGTATTTAATCACATCTGGGTTATTTATTTTTTCTTAAACAAACCAAAAACCACTGAAAGTTTTGAAAATAAAATGTTTCTAAGTTTTTGTTATAAAATTTTGTAAATAAGTGATTTTTCTCCTTCACTGATGTGCGCTAATGAGGTTGTAGTGATGGGCACTGATAAGATGCACTGATGGACACTGATAGGTGGCACTGATGGGCACTGATGAGGAGGCACTGGTAGGTGGCACTGATGGGCATTGACAGGCATCACTGATGGGCACTGAAAGGCAGCACTGATATATGGCACTGATAGGCGGCACTGATTGGCACTGTGAGGCGGCACTGACTGGCTGACTGGCACTGTGAGGCGGCACTGATGCGCACTGATAGGCGACACTGATGCGCACTGATAGGCGGCACTGATGCGCACTAATAGGCGGCACTGACTTGCACTGATAGGCGGCACTGACTGGCAGCACTGATAGGTGGCACTGATTGGCATTGATAGGTGGCACTGACTGGCACTGATGGGTGACACTGAAGGGCAGCTCAGATGGGCACTGATATGTGGCATTGATGTGCACTGGTAGGCACTGATATGTGGCATTGATGTGGCACTGATGGGCACTGGCACGTGGCACTGATGGGCACTGACAGCTGGCACTGATGGACACTGACAGGTGGCACTTCTGGGGCCACACTGATCATCAGTGCCCTGATGATCAGTGTACATGTCCCCTCCGCGGAATGCCGATTACCGGCTCTCCTCTCCTTTCGAGCTGTCATCGGGACAGCTCGATAGGAGAGAAATGCCAATAAACGACATTTCCCTGTTTACATGTGATCAGCTATGATTGGACACAGCTGATCACATGACCGAGCCGACATCTTCGGCTCTTTCCGTGGATTGGTGATCCGCTGTGTCCTAGGGACACAGAGTACCGCCGATTGCCGCGCTGTGCGCTCCCTGAGTCGCGCATGTGCCGTGAGAATGGAAGGCCGTCAAAAGACGGCCTATCAGAACGAGAGAACCACCTTGCGCCCGTCATTGGACTATATGGCGGGCAGGAGGTGGTTAAAAAGCGCTTCTAAACACAAACGCACATAAACGTGCATAAATGAGGTATACAAACATGGCTAAACAGATGTTTTTTAACCTACGTTTTCCAGCAGTCAGTTTCCATCATTCAGAAGTGTTTTCCAAACGTTCTGTGTACATGGAGCCTTATGAGACTTTCTTTCCTGTCACTAGAGGCCATAGATGTTATTAACTGAGGCAGCGGGCAAATGCTACAGAGGAATGTAGATTCAGATAGTGAGGAACGAGGAAGAGAACCCATGTCTTCTCACTGAGGTGTTACTCTCTGAGCTATGTAGTGCAGTCACGTGTCTCCCCATGCATGTGGTAATCAAATAGCTAGTATTTTTACCATGGCAAGTACACTGCAGGTAGAGACTGCAGATCACAATGCTACTGTCAGTATTAGATGTGTTAAAGGCTAGTGGTTTGTAACTTGTGGGGTAGTGCTGCCATATGGATTAGGATGGTGTTCCCTCTAGATTTCTGCAAGCTCCTCATGCCCTGGACGACACCTTCCTTTGCTGCAAGTTATTGAAGCTTTAGGGGAGGTGGGTAGAGATGCTTCAATCTGCAATAATTTACTCAGTCCCACGCCAGTGCTCCTGGTTCCTCCCCTCACCAAGTGCCCACCATAGGAAGCTGTTTCTTATGGTGGTCACTTGTGTAGGTTTGCTCCTAAGCCTATCTGTTTGCATCTATTCACACATACAGTCCAGCTCTGCCCCAACCCCTGCTTTCTGCTCACTGGTTTTGACTGACAGCAGGAGGAGCCAATGGCTACCAGGTTCTCAGCCATGCCTGTGAGAGCCAGGAGAGGAGAGAAGAGCTGCTGCACACATGCACAGCACAGGGCTGAAGTTGAGCTCAGAGGAGTATTTGGGGGGCTGCGTATTTGGGGGGCTGCAGGAGGAGCTGTTCTTAAAATATTTTTTTACCATATTGCAGAGAATACATTAAGGTAAAATACCTTTCACCTTTTAAACCATTTTAGGTATGTGTGTTTACAATATGTTGGTTAACCATTAGCCGCCCGGCGGCGGCTTCAGATGTGTATCTGCATTCCGGGTGCACGCCATTTGGCATGCTCCCGCACATGCGCCGTTTGCGCTAGTGCAGAGCGGCGCAGCAGTGCGATCTGTCATCGGCCGTGCACCTCGGACACGGCCGATGACAGATCCGAGTACCAGCTCCCGTTGCTGGTACCATGTGACCTGCTGTGACCAATCACAGCAGGTCACATGACAGTTGTATACAATGGATGGCTTCATTCATGATGCCATCCATTGTATACTAGTGCCTAGCTGTGAATGGTCACAGCTAATCACATGCACATGTCATGTGATTAGCTGTGACCAAATCACAGCTAAGCACAAAAAAAAAAAAAAAAAAAAAAAAAAAGCTGAATGAATCGATTTCATTCAGGTAAATGCTTGCTTATAGCAAAGTAATTCTTTGCTATAAGCAAATTGTGTAAAAAAAAAAAAAAAAATACTGATCACTTCCCCAAAGTAGTACAATGTTACTATGGTAACATTGTACTATTTTGGTCATAGTAAAATATGAAAAAAAATCTTAAAAAAAAAAAAAAAAAGTAATAAAAAAATAAATATAATAAAAAAATAAAAAAAAATTAAAAAAAAAAAATATATTTTTTTTTTCATACTGTCACCAGTCAGTGTCCCTGTTCACCGCCATGCCAGTTATATGATGACAGTATGTAAAAAAAAAAAAATAGTGAAAATAATTTTTTTAATTTTTTCATTTTTCCGAAAAATTATGACAAAAGAATACAACTTCAAAAAACTCGCCATGCCTCTTATGAAGTACGTCGGACTGTCTACTCTGCAAAAAGGGGTCATTTGGGGGATATCTGTACTATTCTGACATTCTTGGACCTCAAGAAATTAGATTGGCCGTCATTACTTCAGGATTGATCAATTTTCAGATCTATACCATAGTTTGTGAACTCTATAACTTTCCTAAAAACTAAAAAATACATCCTAATTTGGGTTATTTTCACCAAAGACATGTAGCAGAATACATCTCGGCCTAAATTTATGAAGAACAATTATTTATTTGTAAACTTTTATAACAGAAACAAAGAAAAATGTGTTTTTTTTTCAAATTTTTTGGTCTTTTTTTGTTAATTCAGCAAAAAAATAAAAACCCCAGTGGTGATTAAATACCACCAAAAGAAAGCTCTAGTTGTGTGAAGAAAATGATAAAATTTTAGTTTGGGTACAGTGTTGTATGACCGCGCAATTGTCATTCAAAGTGTGTGTGTGAGCGCTGAAACCTGAAAAATGGCCTGGGCAGGAAGGTGTAAAATTGCACGGTATTGAAACGGTTAATTAAGACTGTCTGTACTCTGCTGGAAGATCTATTTTACATTTGTTAGGACAGTGTTCAATTCTAGCTTAGGTTGTAAACTAGAATTGAACACTGTCCTAACAAAGTGTTATCTATTTAGAAGCTGGCCTTCTGCACTGTATGAAAAAGAGGAAACTCAGTCTTGTTCAGAAACACTTGCAGTCTGCCATGAGGTCTTCAACTGAGAAGCATCTAAAAGATAAATGTTTTTTTTTTTTTTTAGTTTTGCTGTGTGAATCAGAACACATAACAAATATATAGTGGGGTTTTCTCAAATGTGAATGCAAAAGGTGAAATACACTTTAATTGGGGGGGGGTCAGCAACCTGTAGATCATGATCTACCAGTAGATTGTGGCCAGGTAACTGGTAGATCGCGTTCTGGGCTTGCTGGCCCGCCATCTGGGAGCATAAGACAGAGTGAAATGCAGAGGGACTACTTGTAAAGTTGGAGCTATAGTAGGGAGCAAGAGCCACATAAGCTCATGCTTTCTCTGTAGTGCTGGCTCCTGTTTCATGCAGAGTGATACCAACTGCACTCCACCTCTTATCCTGGCCACCAGTCCCAGAGTGATGCCAGCAGCAGGAAAGAAGAGATCTTCAGGTCAGTGTTAAGCAATACACTTGGCATATTAGTACAGGGCTGCTTTCACACTGATGTGCTGCGGTTTACCCACAACGCTGGTGCAGTGCAGTGTACCTGCAGCTTTCCTGCGGGTTTGCTGCACTTAGCCATAGACTTTTATTATTTCTTGCGGAATGCAGGTAAACCGCAGCACATCCAGCCATATAGGGGGCTCAGAACAGTAAGGGTTCATTTACATTTGCAGTTTGAGGGGTGGTAAAACCCCATAGTTAAGACATGTTTTTACTACCCTGCTCCAACCGCACCCCCTTTAGCTGCAGTGGCTAGGGGTGTACACATGTTGCAGCCATAGCAAGAGTTATACACCCTGTCCTGGTGGGTGGGCATAGCACCTGCCAAGCATAACCTATTCAAGTGAATGAGGCCGCTCTGCAAGTGCCCTGCAACCTTGTGTAGTACAGCAAACAAAGGATTAAAGCAGGCAGCATCATGTTGCTTTCTCATCACCTGCTTTAACCCTTTGGACCCTGAAGAAGCATGCAGTTGCGAGGTGCTTGCAAAGTGGCCCCATTTACTTGAATAGGCCATGACTGGCCGGCAGTAGCACCCACCAACTGCAACTGGGGTTGAATTCCTGCTGCAAGTGTACACCTTTGGCTGCTGCCTCAGCAGCTAAAGGGGGTAGGGATTGGGGGTGGTAAAACCACGACTCAACCACAGGGTTTAACCATCCCCCAACATTACGTGTGAATGAGCCCTAAAGGCTGATGCTGAATGCAACAAAGGGCTCATTCACAAGTGCAGCAGGCACTGCTGCTCCTCTGAACAGCAATCTAAGTGTGTTTGACAGGTGGTGAGGAAGTGATATGTTGCCTCCTCACCACCTAATTTAAACCCATGATTGCCATACAATGCAAGTGATTGTGACACAGTAGTATGGCAATTAGAGGTTTAAATCAGGTGTGAGGAAGCGACACTGGGCCTGGTGATCTTTGATTTCTCCCATGTTGTTTAGGTAGATCTCCACCTCTTTATCCTCTTAGTATGAGTGTATGTGGCTGCTCAATGTGTGGACCTGAATGCCGAGTGGCTGCATATATGCAGTCCTATTAAAATTACTTACTGTGCTGAGAACACGCTCCCTGCATGCTCTCAGCATGGTAGCCTGTGGTGATTGGTAAGCTCCCGATGCACACTTGAGATCTGGAGCTTTCCAATCATGTGACCACTGTGACAGCCAATCACAGCGGTCACATGACCCAAAAAGCCCGCCTACGCATCCCGGCTTTTATAACCCTTAAAGGGCCGGATGTCGGCCAGCGCCATAGCTTTAACCTCCCTGGCGGTATTCCCGAGTGTAGCTCGGGGTAAAGTTTCAGTACCACAAGCGGTAACCCCGATCGTGCTGCTCCACGATCTGTTCTTCTCTTACCTTGTCCTGAGCTCCCGCGATGTCCCTCCTGCAGTGTCCCCTGTAATGTCCTCCGGTGGATGCCGGCATATGTCTTCTGGGTTCCGTCCCCTGCGACGTTGGGACGTACGGGGGCCGGAACCGGTGGGAAATTTGAAAGTGACAAAAAGTGACATTTACTAAATTCACTAAAATAACATAGTAAAACATTACTGTATCAAACCATTTCACATACATTTTGTCCCTAGTGCTTTGTCCTGTGCCCTGCCTGCATTTTTACTGTTCTTTCTGCCTGGAAACTGAGAAACGTCCATGGCGTCCAAAAAGCGTCCCTTTAGGTCAAAATCGGTTTTAGACCAGCTAGAGAACAGCAATAGTAAATTAGAACTACTTGCAGAATTGAGTGATAATGATTTGTGGGGAAATTCGTCATCAGACACTGAAAACGTTTTTGCGACTTTGCTCAGTGATGTGCGAACTTGGCGCTATATTTAAA